CTAGACATAGCTCCCTCCATTCTGGCATGGTGGCTGGCATATTGCTGCTCCATGGGCCCTGGGGAGCCTGCTGGTTCTCTTCCAGACAGGGCAGCAGGTGGAGCGGAGCCTGGTGGAGGCTGGCCCAGGGCAGTAGGCAGTCCTGTAGATGGCCCAGTAGGTGCAACAGTCTTGGAAGGGCTGGTACATTTGCTGCACAAGAGCCCTGATGGCGCACACCCTCAGCCAGCCCAGTAGACATGCTCGGTGCCATGCATGACACTGCCAGCACTGGAACCACACCAGAAGTAGCTCTGTGAACCCCACATGGCCCACGTCTGCGGGTGAGATAGCCTTGTCCTCAAGGCCACCTGATGGCCACCTGAACTGGGAGCTCCTGAAACAGTTTTTAATGAAATGAGGTCAAGCATTGGCACATAGTAGGTAGGCGTGATGAACAAATAAAGACGCAGTACTCTTAGAAACTGCAAACTAGAGCCCATCTGAGTTGATACAGTGCGGGCGCTTCCAGATCCTGGTTTCAGTCTCTGCTCCTTCCTCAGTCCCCACCATCATCATCATTTTTAGCAGCAACAACAGCTGCCTGATGTATGGCAAGTTATAGAAATTCTATGACTTGGTCTCATGTAAATGCCACAATAATCCTGAAGTCTATACTATAATTCCACAAATGGAAACTAGAGAGGGTGTATGACTTGCCCAAGGGCACAGAGATCTGAGACTTGAAGGCACTGCTTTTGGCCTCCCTTAGATGAATTGATCTAATATGTATGTAGCACCCACTGTGTGCATGGTAAGTGCAGACATGATGCTAATTTCTTTTGCTGGCAGCAATCGGCTGGAGAGCAGGTCCAGTCCACTTTTTCTGTGTGGCTTTGGGCACTTCTCTCGGCCTTAATTTCTTCATGTGTAAAATGGGGACTATGATGATAGTGTCATCACTGCAGGGGGCATGGGGGAAGTGATAATATATATATGTAGCATAGTGTCTGGCACAAGTAAGCATCCAGTAAATTGTAGCTGGTTCTTGATTATTGTCACCTAGGGGTTCTTGATTATTGTCCAGGGGCCTCCTGACCCCTTGAGATCTTCACTGAATGAGCCCAAGTAGCTACTGCAAAAACCCTCTCCAAGATTACTGGAAATTCCTGGGCAATTTGATTTCTCCTGATCCAGCTCCTGCTTCAGCATGTACTGTCTTTGGTCAATACTATACCAAAATAGATGTAAAACTTGGCCCCTTCTGCTATTTCCACAAACACCCCAGTCAAGATAGCCTCAGTGGGTATAGAAGACTATTTTTTAAGGTTTCCAGCGATGGGACAGAGAAAGGGATCACATCATAGGTACAAAAAACCTCAGGGTGAACTAAAAGTAACCTGGTTCCCAAGATGGCCTCAGTCTGCTCTTCTGATTCCTCTCCATTATCTGCAGCCCATCAACCTTGGAACAGTTGCCATAGTTTGGCTATTGTCTCCAATTCTCTCTTTCTAAGGAGCTCTCCAATTTCCATTCCAGGCATTATCCCACTGTATGAAACCTTAGAGGTTGCGGGGGTGGTGTGGTGGTGGTTGGCTTTCCCTCCTATCTCTCCCTCATCCACCTACCCCACCCCCACCAGTAAAGCACCACAGGGTATTTCTCAGGCTTTCAGGTAGCCCCCACGAGGATAGGAGGAAATGTTTGCTATCGTTCATGGTAGGTGATGCTGGTGGGTGGCTGCTGGCTGCCCAACAGGCTTCCCCTATACTCCCCACCCTTGATTCCTGCCCATTTCCCAAACCCAGTCCTCCAGTTTCTGGTAGATTCTCTTGAGTGCCGGTAGCTTAAAACATCAGTGTCATGTTAGGAACAAAATCAAATCCTACTCCACTTCCTTCTTGCCTCCACAGCAGCTGTCACTCAGAGCTTCAAGAGCAAACCTTCACCTTCAACAGTTTTTCAAAGTATTTTTCCAACAAAAGCCATTCTCTTCCCTAGGTCAGGAGGTTATGCACTGAGGATCTACAAGCTGCATCTGGTCCACAGGTATGTTTTTTTAAAAATTAAAACAACATTTAAAAATTGAGAGATTAAAAAAAAAATTGAGAGATTAAGGGTAACTGGGTGGCTCAGTGGTTGAGCATCTGCCTTTGGCTCAGGTTGTGATCATGATCCCAGAGTCATTGGATGAGCCCAGTTGTCAGTGTCCCCGCGGAGAGCCTGCTTCTCCTTCTGCCTAGTCTCTGCCTCTCTCTGTGTGTCTCTCATGAATAAGTAAAATACTTTTGAAAATTGAGAGATTACACATGAAAATCTAGATTTGTGCCTTTTCTTGTAAACTCATAAAATCTGACATCATGGGACCCACATTCTCCTCAAGGAGCATTTTGGCCTGAATGGAGAGCACAGTCCCTGCCCTAATTTAGACAGATTTTTCTTATGCCCTGGCCCACTGGCCTTATTTCTCCTGTTTGATCCCTGTAGGCTTTCAACTTTGTGAACCTTTGCCAAAGGGCATTTCAGCATGGGTTTCCACCTCCACTGCATTCCTGCGATCAGACTGGGTTCTATGAATTTGCTAGGTTCGCAAAGGGCACGCTAGGCCAAAGATACAGCAACAGTAGTCACTTAAGCATGCAAGCGGTGACCGTTCCTGGAAGGGCAAAGTGTCCGGAGGGACCGGGTCTCTGGTGTGAGGGGGCGGTGGAGCTGGAAAGGGTTAAACTGGGGCTCGGTTCTAAAGGGCTTTAATGCTTTCTTAGTGGGCACTGGGAGCCAGTGTGGGGTTTAAAACAGGGACACAGAATGAGGTGTGCTTATGACAAAAGAAGCTGGGAAGCTGTGGGCAGGATGGATTGAACCCCCCCCCTCGCTGTCCCCGCGGAAAAGCCCAGCGAGAGGCCGAGGCCCAGGCGGGCCAGGCGCGTGGCAGCGGCGGCGGGAAGGGCTGGGAGGATGACAAGGGAGGGATTCCCGGGACCGCGTTGCCGGGGAATGGGTACGCTTGACCTTGACGGAAAACACTGCGGACGCTGCAGCTGCAAAGCGCTTGCCTCCTCCCCTTCCCCACCCCCGCGCCGCAGCAGACTGCGGCGGAATCCCGGCCGCTCGCCTCTGCGCCCTCCCGCGCCACTGCGGCACGCGAGGGGCGGGGGCGCGGGGTGGCGGGGATGCCTGTCTTCCCTGGAAGGCTGGAGAAGGGGGTGGGGAGGGAGGCCGGTCACGTGGCGCCGCCAGCAGGCGCTCCCCGATTGGCGGTCCCGCAGCCGAGCCTGCCCGGCTGCTCGGGTTTCCAGGCACCGAGCAGCCACTGCCGCGTCCCGGCGCGCATGGGATGCTCCGGCCCCGCGCAGAGCCGGGTAGGGCGGGGGCTTGCCCAGCTAACCGCTGCCAGGTCCCTGGTTTCTCGTTGCGATCCTCGCCGCGGCTTGGGAGGTCTGATTATTGTCTCCGTGAACACATCCTTTATCTGCTTCTCTCCTGCCTTTCCCCAGGTGTCCCTCTTCCCACTGTGCTACCTGAAGCCAGCTTTGTTAGGACTGGCCGAAGCAGGTTTCCGTTACTTGCCACGGTTTTGCAGCTTTGGGGAAATCATTTAACCTGGCTGGAGGTGGGGAAGAATCAAACAGAAATCCCACAGACACCTCAAGCCCCACACAGCCCAACCAGCCAGCCAGTTTCTACCCAAACTGTTTCTTCTTTCTGTCTCCATCTCTGTTTTAAGCAAAAACCTGATAGCCGTGTCCATCTTGCTGTCCCCCATCAAATCTATGACTGAAACGTATTTTTAAGATTTATTTATTCATGATAGAGGCAGAGACATAGGCAGAGAAGAGAAGCAGGCTCCCTATAATGAGCCAAGATGTGGGACCCCATCCCCGGAGCCCGGATCACACTCTGAACCAAAGGCAGAGCTCAATCACTGAGCCACCCAGGTGTCCCTATGACTGAAATGTATTAAATTTACCTCCAAATTATGTCTTAAACCTCAATATCCGGTATTTTTCCTTAGCATTTATCCCAATCTGTACCTGTATGTTTATTTGTGATCTTTTTTGTATAGTAAGCTCCATGAGAACAAGGACCTTATCTTTTTGCTCATCGTTATATCACCAATACACAGTTGGTGCCTGATAAACTTTTAGTAAATAAATAGATGCATGGCTGGTCCTGTGCTAGGTACGAGGTGTGGAGGGGGATACATATTTTAAGATGAGACACACAGTTCTTTCCTCAAGAAGTCATCTATGTAACAAACATGCCCTGAATCCTTCTCTAGGCTAGCTCTGAGCAGGGTTGGTGCACAAGATGTTTAAGACACCATTTCCACCTTTTCCCTTCATATGGAGGGACCACACATGTCCAACCTAGATAATAAACCCTGGTATTGGAGAGGTTAGCTGTGGTGGTATATAATGACCTCTAGAGTCAGAAGAGTCCAGGGCTTAGAATCTAATGATCTGGCTTCCCCGGCCAGCTTTGCCTCCTTCTGGCTGTGTGACCACAAGTCTCTTCTCTCTCTGAGGCTCCATTTTTCCATCTTAAAAATGGGGGATAACAGTACTTCCTAAAAGAGCTGAGAGATACGAACAAGATAAATGAAAACACCAAGTGCCAGGTTCTTCAACAATGTTGTGTGTGGGTAGGTGATCATGCCCCCCTACTTTGCCTGGAACAGACCAGCTGACACCTGTTGAACCAGGGCAATTATTAATAGCATTCCCTTTCATTCTCAGAAGTGTCCTGGGTTTGGACAGTAAATTATGTGGTCATCCTAGTCACAGGTATGACACTAGAGTTATCCCCATTGTGCCCTGGAGACAACAAAGGTAGGAGAGTGGTGAGCTGACTATAGAAAGGAGGGTGGTGATCATGGAAATGAGCCTGGAAGCATGTATGTGATTACACCAAGTGAAAAGAGATAGGAAAGGCATAGCAGGCAGAGGGGCCAGCATTTGCAAAGGAAACAAAATTTGGTAATTTGAGTCATGTTTAGATAATATTAAGAAGGCCCAATGGTGCTCACTTTGGCAGCAAATACACTAAAATTGGAAGGATACAGAGAAGATTAGCATGGCTCCTGCACAAGGATGACCTACAAATTTGTGAAGTGTTCCATATTTTTAAGGGGCACCTGGCTGGCTCAGTTGGTAGAAGATGTGACTTTTGATCTTGTGGTCATGAATTCAAGTCCCACATTGGGTGCAAAGATTACTTAAAAAAAAAATAGAAAAAGGCCAAATGACTCTATTCAAAAGGCATGGAAGGAGATGAAGCTGGCAGTGGGAACTGTAGAAGGGATTGGTATGAGCAGATTCACAAAAGAGACCAATGGAGGGGTTCGGGCCAAATCCAGGCAAGAGAAATAATGAAGCCTGAAGCCAGGAGAAGATTCTGTAAGCACTTTAGAGGTAAGCGGAACTTGGATGTAGGGCTGGAGGACAGGTCAGGAGGACTTCCAGGTGAATGAGGAGGCCATTCCCTGAAGCAGGTGGGGAAATGAGAGGGCCAGGAAACCCGGAGACAGGAGGTGATCCAGATTGGACTTGTGGCATTCACCACTCTTGATCCAGAGGGGAAAAGTAGGGGTCATAAGAGGTAGAGGTCACTTCTAAGGTCAGAGGAAGGAGCTGGGGCCCAGTTAGTATTCGGGTGACATCTGATTAAAATTAGCTTTCAGGGCAGCTCAGGTGGCTCAGCGGTTTAGCACCACCTTTAGCCCAGGGCGTGGTCCTGGAGTCCCACGTCAGGCTCCCTGTATGGAGCCTGCTTCTCCCTCTACCTGTGTCTCTGCCTCTCTCTCTCTCTCTCTCTCTCTCTCTCTCATGAAAAAATAAATAAAATTAGCTTTCAGAACAACCTTGAAAGGCAAGAGAAAACTCAAAAGTAGAGCCTCAAGTAAAGAAAGAGCAGATTTTCCAGACCAGCTTCTTTGTATATATTGCTCTCCTTGACCAAAATATTCCCACAATGCCTCACTGCCTAACAGAATAAAAGCTGAGGTCCTCAGCCTGGCGCTCAAGGCTTCTGGTGACCTGGTCCAAATTATCTCCGGTGAATGGTTCATATTTTACCTGGTCATGTTTGGCCCCTCCTTCCTTCTGAAAACACAAGAATGGCTCCTCCCCTGGCCCAACCATATAGTCCAGGTGGGGACAATCAATTTTAGCATCCCATTCCCCATAATCAAGGGTATGAGTGCACATGTGACCAAGCTTGGTCAATCAGAATCCTCCTGAAGGATTTTGGAGATTTGGAACAAAGGGAAGAAAATTTCTCATCTCTCTGGTAAGGAAGCTAGGAGGCATGAGCTGGGGATTGCTGTTGGGCACAGTTACAGCCTGGAGAGTAAAGTGGTCTAAAAAACCAAAGTAGGGAGAAGAGAGGGTTATTGTTTAATAGGGTTTCAGTCTGAGAGATAAAAAAAAAGTTCTGGAGATGGGGGCACCTGGGTGGCTCAGTTGGTTAAGCATCTGTCTTGGGCTCAGGTCATGATCCTGGGATCCTGGAATCAAGTCCTGGGATCTGGGCTCCCTGCTCAGCGGGGAGTCTGCTTCTCCCTCTCCTTCTGTGTCCTTGCTCTGTCTCTCTGAAATAAATAAATAAATAAATAAATAAATAAATAAATAAATAAATAAATAAATAAATCTTTTTTTAAAAAGTTCTGGAGATGGGTGGTGCTCACACAAACAATGTGAATATATTTAATGTTATTCAACCGCACACTTAAAATTGGTTAAAATGGTATTTTATGTAATGTACACTTTACCACAATTATTTTTTAAAGATTTTATTTATTTATTCATGAGAGACACAGAGAGAGAGGCGGAGACACAAGCAGAGGGAGAAGCAGGTTCCCAGCAGGGAGCCCAACTTGGGACTTGATCCCAGGACCCCAGGATCACAACCTGAGCCAAAGGCAGACACAACCACTGAGCCAACCAGGCGCCTCTACACTTTACCATAATTAAAAGAAGAAGGAGGAGGAAGAGCTGCCAGGCAGATGAGGAAAGATGGAATGAGGGAGGAGTGCAGGTGGCTCCCTGGATATGGTTGATCTTTGGGCCTGTTGCTGTAATGCTTGTCTCAAAGGGTGGTTTATGAGTCAAAAACTTACTCTTTTGGCATAGGCTAGTTCATGTTGGCCTTCTTTTCCTTGCATCTGATGGAGTCCTAACACAGAATCTTTCCATTCTTCTCTCTCACATCCTTTCAGACATTCTCTACTCCTGTCACAGCCTGCTGCCCACAGCTCCTCAGACCAATCCTGCATTTGTACCCCTATGCCTTTCCTCCAGACTCCCTCTGCCCTTTCCCCTACTTACAAGTGTCAACTCCTACTCATCCTTTGAGACTGGGCTGAGAGGGCTCTTCTGGGGATCCGTGGGTGGCTCAGCAGTTTAGCTCCTGCCTTCGGCCCAGGATGTGATCCTGGGGTCCCGGGATCAAGTCTCGCATCAGGCTCCTTGCAGGGAGCCTGCTTCTCCCTCTGCCTCTGTCTCTGCCTCTCTCTGATTGTGTGTCTCATGGATAAATAAATAAAATCTTTTTTAAAAAAATGAAAGAGCTCTTCCTCAGAAAGCCATCCCTGACCACAGGGCTTGCCATGCCCTCCTCTGTCAGAGCTTCCTGTACGTGCCTTTGTCACCTAGTATCCCAAAGACCCGCTTTCTTGTTTGTAGCCCTCATTAGGCTATGCTGTTCATTTCCATGACCCTCATGCCTGACAAAAAGCCTAGCACAAACTATCATAAATGTTTACTGAATGGGTGAATAGATGAGTAAAAATCCTTCTTTTTCTCATGTCATCTCCCTGAGTCACTCTTCAGTTTCTACCAAGTGAGGACACAGAAAAAAAAAAAAAAGTGGGTGGAATTGCTTTAGTCCCTCGATTCAAGAGTGATGGATCCAGAGGGAAGAAAATCCAGGAGGAAAGAAACGGGGCCATTGCAAAGTTCAATGGCATTTATGAGAGGTCAGCTTTCTGCCAAATCCCGGATGGTGGCAGCTTTGAGCTGAGGCAGAGTTTGTTTGGGTGCCAGCACCAAGACAAGCAAACATTCTGTGCGTTGAGCTTTTCAGCAAGCTTGGATTCTGACAGCTGCACAGGGAGAAGCACCTAAAAGCCATCTGGGGCTGCCTGGAATCAAGGGTCCCCATCTCCTTCAACACAATCTAACCTAAGAAAAAAGGCATCCCTTTCCCCTACCCTTCGTCCTTACCACAGGCACACACCTCCTCGAAAGCAGCCCTGCATCCTATCAGGACATTGGGTGCTTAGGACAGAGTAAAAAATAACTACAGGGAACCATGGCTTTGATAATACTGCTTACTAACTAGTCCATGACTCCCTCCTACAATTCCCAGCCTCCCTTACAGTTAAATTTGGCTTGCATGACAAGTTCCAGTTAATAGTCTGAATGGAAGTAATGAGTGCTGGGCACCTGGGTGGCTCAGCAATTGAGCAACTGCCTTTGACTCAGATCATGATCCCGGGGTCCTGGGATCGAGTTCCACATCAGGCTCCCTGCAGGGAACCTACTTCTCCCTCTGCCTATGTCTCTGCTTCTCTTTCTGTGTCTCTTGTGAATAAATAAATAAAATCTTAAAAAAAAAAAAGAAAGTAATAAGTGCCCTTTCAGGCTGGAGTATTTAATTGCCAGTGTATAACCCTACAGCAATCTTTCCCTTATTGAGGCAATCCTGAAAGCCTTGCATTGAGGTTGTGGAAGCCAGGATGGAAGTGGCCTGGATCCCTGAGTTACTCAGTGGAGTAGAGGATACGTGTCTTGGAAAGTGCCTTGACCCAAATCAACACTCATCTTGCACAAGTAAGGAAAATAGACCATTTTTATGTTAAGCCATTGAGCCATTTGGGTTGTGTGTTACCACAGCAAAGCCTAGCCTATTGTGACCAACATATAGAAATTAATTGTTTTAGCCATCCAGTATCAGACCTCCCTATTTGAGGAGGAACATTCCCCCTCCTTATGATATTGCCAAATCCAGTGGCCACTTTTCTGTTCTTTCCTGATTTCTCAGCAGCATTTGTCATAATTGACCACTCCCTCCTGGAAACATTTTATCTTGGCATCTGTGACATCACACCTGCCTGGTTTTTGTTCTCTCACAGCCTCTGCTTCTTAGTTTCCTTCACTGGCTCTTCTTCCACTGTTTTACCTCAAAAGTTTGAAGTTTCTCAAGGCTTATTCCTGGGGACCTTTCTCATGGTTTTACCTGTCACCCATGAGAAAGACAGCTGTTACCTTCCAGTATTCACTCAACCATTCTCTATTAGTCCCAGAGACCTTTTTTTTTTTTTTTTTTTTTTTTTTTTAAAGCAGGGCACATGTATCTAGTTAAAAGACTGCATTTCTCAGTAGAGCCATGGGACTATGTTTTGGCAGATGAGATGTAAGCACAAAGGTATGGGACTTCCAAGGCAGTCTCCTAAAAAAGAAAAGGGTGCACTCTTACCCATTTCTCCTCCCAACTTCCAAAGGTGGAACATAATGAGGTGATCTTTTATTTTTTTAAAAGGATTTTATTTGTTTATTCATGAGAGAGAGAGAGAGAGAGAGGCAGAGACATAGGCAGAGGGAGGAGCAGGCTCCATGCAGGGAGCCCAATGTGGGTGGGACTCCATCCCGGGACTCCAGGATCACACCCTGAGCTGAAAGCTGACGCTTAACCACTGAGCCACCCAGGCATCCTCATAATGAGGTGATCTTAAGATTGGAAACCAAGTGCTGAGTGTAGCAGAGCAGCGCTCCTACCTCTGGACTTCCTTTTTGTGAAGAGAGTAATAAATTTCTATTGTAAGTTATTTTCTTTCGTTATGTGCAACTAAACCGCATCCTAACTGATCATTCCTGTTGCTGTTGTAGTTGCATGCTTGCGTCCCATCAGGAAGCCTGCATACAGCACAAGAAAGACACTTCCATTGTTTCCCAGAGTTCATGTTCCTCACCCTCTCTGATTTTTCCCACTCATCTTCTCTCCTTTCCCCTATAATCCCTTTCACTATATTTTATATTCCCCAAATGAGTGGGTGGGGGGATGGGGTGACCGAGTGAAGGGCACTGAGTGGGGCACTGGACGGGATGAGCACTGGGTGTTATGCTATATGTTGGCAAATCGAACTCCAGTAAAAAAATATACAAAAATAAATAAATAAATCAGTAAGAACCTAAAAAAAAAAAAAAAAAAAAAGTTCCAGGCCGGGGGGGGGGGGGGGGGGAGTGCTAGGCCTCCTTCCACAGATTGTAAATAACCAAGCTACCAGGAGGGTGGAGTATGAGGTGGGCCTGGGAATACAGTTTTTTAGCTCACACAGAGACTGAAAGCTAGATTAAGGAATTCGGGCTTTATTCTGTAAATCCCTTGCTGATAGGAAACCGTCTTATGTAGTAATGCCTCCAGGTTGTAGATGCTTAAGGAATGACTATTTTCCTTATTAACGCTGCTAAGTTAAACAGCAAAAGGAGCGTGGGAAGGTGGAGCAGTTGGGAATCACCATGTGATCTATCCTCGTCCACGCTCTACAGACGAAGGAACCTCGGAGCGCTTGCGGTGAGGGGCAGTCGGCCCAGCCGTGAGGAGAGGCTCACGGAAAACACCTCCGCGGCGAAGGCGGTCGGGGCGACGGGGATGGGGGAGGGGGTCACGAAACGCAGTTGGGTCAGCGCCCGCTCAAGATGGCGGCCCGGGAACCCCATGACCGGGAGGAGGCGGAGCTCCGCCCCGGCACGCCCGGCCCCACCCAGCCCGGCCCCGCCCAGCGCCCCTCCGGGGTGGGGAGCGCTGGTTGTGAGGTGTCTCCGCGAGGCGCCTGCGCAGTGAGCAGAGGCGCGCGGGGCGGAGGCTTTATAACCACTTCGACGCGGCCGCTCGGCTTCTATCTCGGGGAGGGCGGCCGAGGCGGCGGCGGTCGCGGCGGCGGTTGGGGGGCACTGAGGCGGGAGCTGTGGCGGCGCTGGGCGCCCCTCGCTCCTCGGGCTCTGGGGGCCATGGGCTCTGAGAAGGACTCCGAGTCGCCGCGCTCTACATCTCTACACGCGGCCGCGCCCGACCCCAAGTGCCGCAGCGGCGGCCGGCGCCGGCGCCTCACCTTCCACAGTGTCTTCTCCGCCTCGGCCCGCGGCCGCCGCGCCCGGGCCAAGCCGCAGGCCGAGCCGCCGCCCCCGGCCGCCCCGCCGCCGCCCGCCCCGGTCCCGGCCGCGGCCCAGGCCCCGCCGCCCGAGGCGCTGCCCGCGGAGCCGGCAGCCGAGGCGGAGGCGGAGGCCGCGGCGGCGGCGGCGGCGGCGGCGGCGGCGGCGGCCGGGCCGGGGTTCGACGATGAGGAGGCGGCGGAGGGCGGCGGCTCGGGCCCGGAGGAGGTGGAGTGCCCGCTCTGCCTGGTGCGGCTGCCTCCCGAGCGGGCCCCGCGCCTCCTCAGTTGCCCGCACCGCTCGTGCCGGGACTGCCTCCGCCACTACCTGCGCCTGGAGATCAGCGAGAGCCGGGTGCCCATCAGCTGCCCCGAGTGCAGCGAGCGACTCAACCCGCACGACATCCGCCTGCTGCTCGCCGACCCCCCGCTCATGCACAAGTACGAGGAGTTCATGCTGCGCCGCTACCTGGCCTCGGACCCCGACTGCCGCTGGTGCCCGGCCCCGGACTGCGGGTGAGCGCGGGGGCGTGGCCGCCGGGGCCCCCGGGGCTGGACCCCACTGGGTCCTCGGTGCGGCTGGTGCGTGCGTGCGTGTGCGCGGCCCAGCACCGAGGAGCGGGTGAGGGCTCAGCAGCGGGAAGGAGGAGAAGGCGGCCACCGCGGCGGGCCGGCGACCCGTCACCGTCGGCAAGCCCGGACGGGTGGGGGAAGGCACCCGCCACCTGCCCTGCCCGAGGCCTCGAGGTGGGGGCTGAGCAGTCGGTGAGGGCGAGGGAGCTGTCCATCAAGTCAGGAGGCAGGGAGAGGCCTTTAGGTCGGGTGCACGCCCCTCTGTCCAGAGGTAGGGGCCACGTCTTAAGGAGGGCGGGGAGCGGATACCTGGCGAAGGACGGAATGAGCGTATCATTCGGAGGGGCTCACAGCATTCGGAGGGGCGTGTCCCTTTGGCCAGTGGCAGACTTAGCGGCACTGCAGCTGACCACAGCTGCGAAAGTTGGGATGAAGGTGATGGAAATGGCACTAGGGGGAAAGGACAGCTCAGTGGCAGCTCCGGTGCATCTTGGGCATTGTGTTCCCTCTGTGCCAAGCTGTTGGGAGGCCCCCCTGTGGTTCTTACACTGCTGCCTCGAGCAGGGTGAGGAGTGGACGGACCCTTTCTTTGTCCAGAGAAGCAACACTGAGAAGAAGGATGCCCAGAGGCTGACACGGTAGGAGAAAGTGCGTTATCCAGCCCTTCTGATCTTGAGTTCTTGATGACTGTCTTTTAAGGAAGGTACCATGTATCCTGGATTTTTAAGGCCAGTGAGAAAATATGCAGTACGTGCAGAGATAGAATGCCACCAGATTTTACTATCTGTAAAGTACTCAATGGAGACCACCCTCCCACCACGTAAAGCAAATCTGGGTGTTACTGTCTGTACGTCCCATGAATGGCTGCATGCAGCAGAGCGCTTATCTAGGGAGTGATAGGGAGTGATAGGGAGTGATTGGGAGTCAGACTGTGCCGTTTACCAGTTCTGTGACCTTGAGCAGATCATTATGTTCTCGTGTGTTATGCTTTGGGGACAAAAAGATGCTAGGGACTCCTTGCAGTGTGTGAACATAATGCTAGTAAAAAAGATGCTTGGGCCTTTACTTCAAAGGAGTTTAAAAGGGCTTTTAATTGTAGCCTGTATACCAAGACTGTTTTAAGATTTCCATGATGCTGCTATTTGTCCCCTTCAAAAGAAGCTGTCTTAAGAGTGTCTAGGGATCAAGTAGAAAGAGTTAACTTCTGTCTTTCTATTCTACTAGACTTGTTAGAGATGGGTGTGCTATCTAACCTCACTGAGTTGGAGTTTCTAAATTACTTTGAAGCGTTGTGGTCAAAGGTATGGTGTTTGTCTATGGTAGATCACTTTCACTTTGAATTAGTAAATGTCGGAAAGAATGTTGTAGGCTCTTATATCTGGTGGTCTGGTGATCTCACTAGCCTAAGAGGCTAATATATATGGATAGGCAACTTTTATAGATACTGTTAATCTATTTTCTGAACCGAAGGGATATTTACTTAACGCTGCATGGCTAATTTTGGAATAGTATATCAACTCCTTTTTGAGATGTCTTTCCTTGAATTTTAACTGAGAAATATGGCATGGCTGATTATCTTTCTGGGAAAGTTCCCTTTTTGTTTTTATTTTTCTGAAGTCAATGACTGTTTTTGCTCACAACAATAAAAATGGACATGAATTAATTTACAATCTTTATGGTGACAACTGTGAACCATTACTGAAAGTTATTAAAGAATCAAGGCCATTTCTTACTTTAGCCAAGTATTGGGTTAGTATCATGTAGAGCTCTTTTTAATTAGTTAAAAGAATTATAAAAATTATATTTATGTATTTATCTTAATGTGTTATCTGTGGGTTTAAAGGAGGTGAAGTCTGCTGAAAGAAAGCAAGCTGGCATCTGAGTATCCATGTGCCAGGCATACATAATTTAATTTGATCCTTACAACATTGTAAGATTGATTTAGTCTTATAGATGAGAAAACTGAAATTTAAATAAATTAAGTGGCTTGTTCAGGGTCATACCTATTGGGTGATGGAACTAGGCTTGAAACACTGGTAACTCCAACCAAGGCCAACCTCTCAACCAAGGTTTCCTCTCAACCTTTTCTTTTTAAAAAGCATGCACTACTGGGGATGCTACTATTTGGACCATTTTTTTTTTTTTTTTGGACCATTTTGTCAGTTGTGGCCTAAGGACAACTTTGAGAGAGCCAAGAATCTAGTTTCTTTTCTGATTTTTTTTTGTGAACAGCCTCTTATCTACTTTATTTTTCTTCTCTGAAATAGGCCTAATCCTTTCCTGACTTGAGAAGCTTAATTAATGTTTGCAGAGTATTTTGAGGTCTGCAGTTGGAGGTGTTAGATAAACAGGGAGTAACTTTAAAATTCTGTCACTTCCCAAACAGGTGTCTGAGTTCCCTGGGGATGTGGCCAATGGTTTTGCCACTTCTTTTTAATGCCGGAAGAAAAACAGTTTGTTTTGTTTTGATTTGTTTTGATCAAACTGTTCTATTCTTCTGTGTCTGGTAAAAATTATGGATGAGGATTAAGTGTAGTCCCTAGTTATCTTTTCTTATACCTGACCATCTTTACTACTAACAAATCAAGTTCTTAGAGCCAAATTTATCAATTTCTCCCTTCGCTCTGTGTGTATATATGTGTATGTATTTGGCAGGGTGAAGGGAGCATGTAAGCGGTCTTACAGAGTTCTTTCTGATCATTAGTTTCACTATGATTATGATAATGAGAACATCATATATTAAAAGATTATTTGTTTACAAAATATTTGTAGAGCAGAGTCTTGAATTTTTCTTTTCCCACACTTGAATATGATTTTATTTTATTCATGAATAAGAGAACCAATTTCAGTAGGGAAGCATTTACATTATTTTTTAATATTATTAAGTACTATATTACCAAGTATATTTAAAACATATTTTTAAATGAGATTAAATTAACTCAATATATAAATAACCATTTTTATAGTTCTTTATAATCTTAAGACTATAAGCTCATTCAGGAATAATTTTAATTTCATTAAAGTGGAGGATGGTGGTAAGCTTATTTTATAAAGGAGAAACCAGTTCGGAGAAGTTTAAGTGTGGGCTTCAATGTCTCATGGCTAATGAATAGTGCGGTTGATCTATAACCCCTTAGAGTCTCTGCTTTAGCATGAGGTCTTCTCAGACACCCCTACATCATGTAAATATATAATTTTTCCTCTCAAGTACCTTGTTGCCAATCTTTAAACCCTTTCAGAATCTCTAGAAGATTGAGAGGTGAGCAAAGGAGGCAACAAAATTTCCTGGTGTGCAGGAGCAGATCTTCTGTACAGATGAATAGGAGATAAGGCAGTCTTGACCTAAATTCTTTGTGTAGGTCCACATTGCTGGCTCTCTCTCCTGCAGAGTCCCCCCTCCTACCTGACCCAACAGGTGTGAGCTGTTGGCCTCCCTGGACAACTGGACTGGACCATCCCATAAATAGGAAAATTCTGTTCATCTCTAGCACATTTATGAGGGAATTAAACTCCTTGACAAATTTCTCAGTGAAGGATTTTTTTTTCCTCTCTGAACCTTTCTACATCTTTATCTCTCTCTCTCTCTCTCTCTCTCTCTCTGGTATGACATTTTAAAAATTGAGATATAGCTCATGGGTACGTCTTCTCTTAATTTAGCTCTGTACCTTCTATTTCACAACTCCTCATTCTATCCTATCCTCTGCCCCCCATCTTCCCATCTGCACCCAGCTCCATACATTTTTCCCATATTTGTCAAAGTACTCATTCTAAAGTGGAACATTTTATATCACTCTCCTGCTTCCAACTGTTAGTACCTGACCTATAAAATGACTTATATCTTCAAGAACTGATTATTTATATGACCTACCCTTATAATTTAAGTCCCTTTACAGTCTCCCACCATCTTTTCATCTTATTTTCTGTTTTTCACCTACATCAGTATTTTCCAATGTATATCATAGGTATTACTGAAAACCTTTTTGATCAAATAAGCTTGGGAAGTATTGGATTGAACAAAATTTATTTCTGAACTTTTTAGACCCTTTAAACATGCTAATATACACTGTAAAGTTTGCTAATGCTAATATACAGTACATCTTCAATCTGGTGTAATTTCTCCAAATTTAGATCAACAGGAAACATGTTGGTTTGTTTTAAAGTTCCTTTTTTTTTTTTTAAAAGATTTTATTTATTTGAGAGCGCTTGCATGCACAAGAAGGGGGGAGGGGCAGAAGAAGAGGGAGAAGCAGGCTCCCTGCTGAGCAGGGAGCCTGATACAGGGTGGGGGCTCAATCCCAGGACCCTGAGATCATGACTTGAGCAGAGAAAAGTGGCTTAACCAACTGAGCCACCCAGATGCCCTGTTCTTGTTTTTTTCTATGACATCTTAACTGACACTTTCCCTATTTGCAGTTTTCTATTTTTTTTTTAAGATTTTATTTATTTATTCACAAGAGACATAGGCAGAGGGAGAAGCAGGCTACCTCTGGGGAGCCTGATGTGGGACTCAGTCCCAGGATCCCTGAACCAAAGGCAGATGCTCAACCACTGAGCCACCCAGGTGCCCCTATGAGCAATTTTCTAAGCTTCTTTAACAGTTACTCTGTACAGTGTTACTCTGTCTTCTGTTAGTGTCCTTATTTAACAATGAATTTTGTGCTCTGAATAGATTGAGAGTTTCTCTAGCCTAGGATAGCCATATTCCAACTTATTCTACAACTCTACAAACAAAATTTTTCAATTAGATCCCAGAAGAATGAGATAGTTGAATTTTGATAAGATAAAGAAGATGAACAGCACAGTTTTTGAAAGAGAAACAGATAATGGGGATGGGAGGGTCAAGAAGAGGACAGACTGATGATCCTTCAGTAGACACTTTTGAGAATTATGCAGTGTTGAACCTTAGGTGATATTGGGTAATACAAAAAGGACTCAGACATGGTCCTCTTGACAGGGTGTTTGACCTGTTAGAAGAGATTAGATAGATAAATAGATATAGATAAAATTATAAATGCAATGCAATACATACTAAAGAAAACACAAATGCTCTTAGAGGATAGATAAAAGATTTTTGTATGATGGTGTCAAGAAAAAATTCATAGAGGAGGTAATATTTGATCTGGGCCTTGAAGAATGTGAGTAGGAATTCATACGAGGCAAACTGATGTGAGTAGAGAAAAAAAAAAAACATCTTAAACCAGAGTGTTTTGAGCAAGTGCATAGAGGTATAAAAATACAATACTAAGTCTGGAATCTAGTTTGGTCAGCCTCTGGATGCACAATATGGAGAGCATGATCTGGAAAGTTAACTAGAGATCAATCTGAAAAGGTAGACTTAAAGATAAAAAATCTTAAAAAAAAAAAGTTATGTGGCCTGGAGCTAGAAAGTTTGAACATAATAGAGGAACACATTCCTTTAACTACTAGGGTCTGTTGGAGCATAACCAAATTCATAATAATGGGATTTTCTTCTCCAAGGCTGAAGTTAGGTAATGCTGTAGTCTAGCCTGTCACATATTATTATATTTCTGAAGACTTAGGAAATTAACAAAATTAGTAAACTTATATAAACTTAAGGAAAGGGGGAAGGATACATTGGTTTTCTTAGCACCATGTAATTTCCATCACCTTCTATTTAGCTGCTGCTTCTTCCCCACCTCTCCCCCATGTAGCTTCTAATTAGCAACCCTGAATTCTTGGCTAAGCAAAGAGCAGGGTAGGAGAAAAGCTCCATTGTAGGACATGGAAGAGAAGAAACAAGATTGTCAAGGTGGATTCGGTCTCAAGGATGGCGTTTTTTTCAACTACCTAGGGAAGAAGATTACCCTATTCAGAATTTAGGAGTTTGCTCCTAAAATGGGTTTAGACAAAAATTTTTTTAAAGATTTTATTTATTTATTCATGAGAGACACACAGATAGAGCTAGAGACATTCGGCAGAGGGAGAAGCAGGCTCCTTGCAGGGAGCCTGATGTGGGACTCCATCCCTGATCCCTGGATCACGCCCTGAGCCAAAGGCAGACGCTCAACCGCTGAGCCACACCCAGGCATCCCTAGACAAAATTTTAGAATTAAGTTATAGTATCTGGCATATAGTAAACCAGTAGATACATGGATAAGGTTTAAAGATTGCTTTGTGATAGAGTAATGGGCCAGGAGAAGAGTTATAATGGCCTGGGGAAAGTAAAACACCTAAACAGGAGAGAGTCTCTATTATTCATTCAACACAAGTATTTTGAGCATGAACCAGTATGCTAGACCTGAAGATTAAAAAATGGATAGTACTTTTCCTTGAGTCTAGTCTGGCTGGAGAAATACACGTATAAACAGATAATTACAATATAATATGATAAATAATATAAAGTAATTGTACATAGGCATAGAGCAGGCAACCAGCTACCTGGAGAGGTTAAGTGGATTTTATGGGGAAGATGACATTTGAGCTGGTTCTTAAATAGATAACTATTTGCCAGGTCAAGAAGAAAGGAAAGAACGTTTCTAGGCAGAAGGAGTAGATTATGCAAAGGCCAGGAAGTAGGATAAAATGTGCTATATTGTTATACCATACCTTTCAGGGCAAGATCTCAAATGCAGTTTTAGAATGTTTAGTTACACTTGGAGGTGGCAAGCTCCATTTTTGAGATAGAGGTTAAGGCTTGGCAATTTAAATTAGCTCAGTGTCATGCAGTATGAGTCAGGAGCAAGGAGCCCAGACCAGGCGCCCCAAAACAGGAATACCAAGCCTCGTGCCCTGAGTAATTCTGTGTCATGGTAATAGATCACTGTGGGTTCATGAGTATTTGGGGTTATTTTACTTCCTTGGAACCAATTTACACATCCAAAATTGACATTATCAATCTTGTTAAATGTTCTTCTTTAAAAAAAAAAAATGAAAGAATCTGTTAATAAGTATTTATTCCCACCAGGTAAGGTAGGAATGGATCAGGAAACGATCAAGGTTTCCTGAGTATGTAATTTTTATCATCAGCAATTGTGTTAAGGCAGGGAGGTCATCCAGTATCTTTCCCATTTAACACAAAATAGCAAGCAAGTCACTTTCTTCAGGAGAAACATTGTTTATCTGTAGTAGCTATTTTGCAGTTAGGTAGGGTGAATTTACTCAGAACTCCTACAGGATATGAATCATTTGCATTCATACATTGACCTATTCTCACTTTGCTCTTTCTGAGAAGAGTTTTAGTACAGATTGTATTATATAACATAGATGATATGTCATTGATATTTTCAGTGTCATTCTCAAATCAACTTGCAGATTCTATAATAAACTGAGAACTTGAGTTGCTGCTATAAACATCAGTGTACATTCAAATAAACAGAATAAATCCAAGAAAATGTTATTAGCTTTTTTTATAAGTTTGTCTGCAATCTTTGGCTATTGAAGGAGAAAGTGGACTAGAAGACAACAAAGCCCAATGGCAACACCTAAACCTGCATTCATTGACCTGTTTAAAAATTGTTTGAACGTTCACAACTATTTTCCCTTCCTTGTTTCTTTACTTAAAAAATTTTTTTTAAAAGTGTTCACTTATTGGGGCTTATCTAAACATTTAGTTGACATTTAGAACTAGTCAGAGAGGCTAATAGTTGTAAATATATTCGATTGTGAGAGAGTAATTCTAAGAAAATAAATGTGAATTATAAGAAACAGTTGATGTTGGTGCAGATGGGTTCTGAGTTGCCCATCTTTACTAATAATATGTGTCAGAAGAGAGAAGGAAGGGGAGGGAGATAATAGCATTATTATGTATTAATTAATAAAGTAGATGAGTGGTATTCTTGGATTCTGGAGTCTATCAAGGAAATAGATATTTCAAGGTATAGATTTGAGTTAAAAAAAAAGTTTGAAAGATAAAATGAGCTTTCAGTCGAAGTTGATCATGAATCCATCTATGACAATTGTTTCAGACTATATGAGCTCAGACCAGATTCACTGTGTAACTTTTTTTAAAAAATTTATTTATTTATAAGAGAAACAGAGAGAGAGGCAGAGACATAGGCAGAGGGAGAAGCAGGCTCCCGCTGGGGAGCCTGATGCGGAACTCTATGCCAGGACCCCAGGATCAGTTCCTGAGCCAGAGGCAGATCACCGAGCCACCCAGGCATCCCTTCACTGTGGAACTTAAAATGAAAAAGTATACTTTAGTTTTCACAATACCTTTGTTTTACAAATATTCTATCCTTTAATATAAACAAATTCTAATCTTTAAAAATACAGCAAACCATCAAAAGGAATAGTTTTGTACTCTGTTATTTATGAAACTTGCTGTGGTAAACTGCTCTTAAGGAAGCTAGAATACATGCTAGAATTCAGCCTAAATATGGTATTTTTCCCTATTTTTTCAAAGGTAAATGTTTTTAGAATCTCTCTCTCTTTTTTTTTTTAAAGATTTTATTTATTTATTTATGAGAGACCCAGAAAGAGAGGCAGAGACACAGGCAGAGGGAGGAGAAGCAGGCTCCATGCAAGGAGCCTGATGTGGGATTCAATCCCGGGTCTTTGGGATCATGCCCTGAGCCAAAGGCAGACACTCAACCACTGAGCCACCCAGGCATCCCTGTTTTTAGAATCTCAAGAAGAAATTTACTTTCTCATACAGAATATGTTTTTACAGTTTTGTTAGTCATGCTTGTGTGTATTTTATGTGTTATATATGTACTCTTTTCTCTATATCACATATAGGGGGGAGGAGTATCAGTGTTACCCCACCGAAACTGATGAATAATGTCTGTCTTGTTCCAATCAATCTCACTTTACTCCTATCTCTTCTTATTTCCTTACCCAGTTATGCTGTTATTGCCTATGGCTGTGCCAGCTGCCCAAAGCTGACCTGTGAGAGGGAAGGCTGCCAAACAGAGTTCTGCTACCACTGCAAACAAATATGGCATCCAAATCAGACATGCGATATGGCCCGTCAACAGAGGGCACAGACTTTGCGAGTACGGACCAAGCACACTTCAGGTCTCAGTTATGGGCAAGAATCTGGACCAGGTATGTTGGCATTGTCTCATTTTTCTCTTTATTTTATACTTCATAATGTGAGCCTAAAGCTGGAAGAGATTACTTTACTGTATAACCAAGTATTTCTTGGGATCAGAGAGCAAAAAATACTTGGTAATATTTTCAGTATTCTATTTGACATGTAACTTCTCTCTCTGACAATTATAGGTTTTCCAACCTATAACTTGGTAAAATTGGAATACAACAAAATTGAATTCTCTAATTTCTACCTTTTTAATAATATGTCTCATATTGGAGAGTAATTAGATCCTTTTGCAAGGGACTTTTTCAAAACTTTCATTGTGAGCAGAAAGACATTTAATGGGTATTAAACCTCTACTATCTTCCTATTAGCTTTAAGTACATCACGGCTTTTGGAAGTAGGATACAGAGTTAAGGAAAGGAAAAAATATTAGTGTGGATTAATGATTAACCTTAAAAGGAGGAACCTTGGCAAGTCAGAGTAAACCTATTTGAAAATGTCAGTGGGTTTATTGCCTTTTATAAATGTATTTTATTTCACTGATGTCATTTGGGAGAGGCTGGTAGGAAAGATTTTACCATTCACTTTTTCCTGGCACAGCATAATCTCCTAAATTGTCATTTTAATAGGATAGTTCCTAGCTTGCTGTGAAAATTACTAGGTGTGTGCTACATAACATACCCAATTATCTTTAAGTTTTGAATTTGAAAGTATCATGGGAGGGGTCTGTGGGTTGTGTTAACAGCACATCACAATGATACTTGCTGAGCCTGAGAAATGAATTTCCTGAGCTAAAGTTTTTCAAAACTTAAAGCCAATCCCAAGCTGCAGACTATTCTTCCTGCAGGACACCGCTTATTGGCTGGTGAAATTCCATTTTCCTTGGAACCATTTTTGTCTCTAGGGAAGTTTTCTTGTTCGGAGTGTGGCGTAAGTGCTGTGTATGATGCCAGTTTGGGGGATAGGCAGCTCAATATGAGACAGGATCCATCTTATGAAAATTCCTGAGGTCTAGACATAGCCAACCTTCCAGTGAAATGGGTTGCACAATTTGGAATTCTCAGCCAAGAGTTCTTGACTGCCTCTTCATTTTTATATATATATTCCTAGGAATAATAAGTCAAATTAGGTTTAACTGGGGGTATTTTTCTACCCAATCTTCCCTCCCCCCCTTAGCAGATGACATCAAGCCATGCCCACGATGCAGCGCTTACATTATCAAGATGAATGATGGAAGCTGTAATCATATGACCTGTGCAGTGTGTGGCTGTGAATTCTGTTGGCTTTGCATGAAAGAGATCTCAGACTTGCATTACCTCAGGTGAGATGGGAAATGTGTCCTTTGCTTTATAGTCTTGTTCTTTTACTGATTTAGGAAAAAGGCTGTCAAAGAGACTTAGTTGTCTATCCTCGCATTACAGTATAAGAAAGCTGTAAAAAGTTCTTTTTTTTTTTTTTTGAAGATTTTATTTATTCATGAGAGACAGAGAGAGAGAGAGGCAGAGACATAGGCAGAGGGAGAAGCAGGCTCCATGCAGGGAGCCTGATGTGGGACTTGATCCTGGGACTCGATCCCAGGACTCCAGGATCACACCCTGGGCCGAAAGCAGGTGCTAAACCCCTGAGCCACCCAGGGATCTCCTGTAAAAAGTTCTTCTGAAGCACTCCTGTGACCATGTTTTTCTTCAGTACAGAAACTTCCAGGGACTGTTTTCATTACCTTCCAGATAGAGTTCAGTTTCCCTTGCATAGCTTTCCAACAGTCTGGCCCTAATCTACTTTTCTAGCTTTTTTCATGTTGCTTTTATACATGTTATATTCCGGGTAACCTGGCTTGCTATTTCCTCTCTCTCCTCTGGCTATCTTACTTGTTCATGTTCTTTCATAATTGTTCATGCTCTTTCCTTTGCCCAGGATGCTTTCTGATAACATCACCCTCCCAGCAATCCCCTTTTATCTCAACTTGTTCAGTTCTTATTCACCCTTCAGGAGCCACTTAAATGCCATTTCATCTATGATGCCTTCCCAGCTTTTTCTGCCTCGATCTTCTGTATTGACATTCCTTAAATGTATAAATATCACTAATTTTACTTCATATACATGTCTAATTTTGCTAAACTGCATACGTTTATTAAGGTCAGAGTTAACCTTTTTACAGTACTTTGCATGTAATCATTTTTCAAAGAATTCAAAGTGAATATTAAAATATTGTCCTGAAGGAGTTAATATTTATGAACTTAAAATTCGTTGTTTGAATGCAACATTTTTATTTCCAATATAGCAAACATTGAGTTACTTACACTGTACCAATTAATCAGGGACACAAGGATGTGTAAGACGTGATCCCTACTTTCAAAATTGCTTATCCTATGTAGTAGAGAAGACAGGACAAAGGGAGTGAAGAAAAATGGTTGAACACAAAACCATTAAGTATAAAAGTAGGCAAACTAAGGGTATGAAACTAGCATAAAGGGTGTGGCAAGTCTTTTTAAATCCTTTCCCAGGAACATGGTTTACACTATCTATTGAATATGGGTAGAACATATGCCAAGAAAACTATGCAAATCAGTGTTCACTAGCTGCAGGGCACAGTGCTTTTGGATGAGATGTCAAGTGTGTAGGTTGGGATCCCAAGAAGTATATCAGTCAAGGAAGCTGGATCAGTGTTGGGTTAGGGAGGACAGAGTTCAGTAGCAAAGAAAGGAAAGAAGTTTCAAGTCTGGAAGCCTACTTTACAACCAAAAAGTAAAGGGCCCAGAGGTCTAATAATCTGACCTTGTCTTTTGCTCCCCCCTCTATATTCAGTTCCTGTAACCTCTTGTAACTGTTAAGCATTCTTATTGGGGGAAAAAAAAAAGGCTCTTATCAAGCCCTCTGGTGACAACAGCTGCATTTGTAATATTGGTAGTAACTTTAACATGTTTCCTCTGCAGCCCCTCTGGCTGCACATTCTGGGGCAAGAAGCCATGGAGCCGTAAGAAGAAAATTCTTTGGCAGCTGGGAACACTGATTGGTGCTCCAGTGGGGATTTCCCTCATTGCTGGCATTGCCATTCCTGCCATGGTCATCGGCATTCCTGTTTATGTTGGCAGGAAGGTAAGACATAATGAGTTCTGTGTGTGTTCCATCCCCAGGTAAAGTTTGGAAGGAAATAGGGAAGAGCTTATATTTCAGAACTTATTGAGAACCAACTAGTTCGTAGATAAAAATAACCTTAATTTCTTAAATGGATCTTCACAAACCCCAAGAGATCTAAAAGTTCTTATTAGCATCCTGGGCCTGGTTTGTCTCAGTGACTTAAAGGTGAAATACTTTCCTCACTAGCCCTGAGTTATTTTGTCTCTTCTTGGACTAACTTTTTCTGTATTAGTTTATGTCACCCTGATCTGAGTTAGGTTAAAATTTGAGAAAGATGGCTTCTTGGTAGGTGGGGGATAGACTTTAATATAGATAGAATATTCGCTTCTCTTTTTCCACCCTGGCAACCTGCTGACCTGGATTTTCTTTCTTATTCTTAGATACACAGCAGATATGAAGGAAGGAAAACCTCCAAACATAAGAGGAATTTGGCTATCACAGGAGGAGTGACTTTGTCAGTCATTGCATCCCCAGTTATTGCTGCGGTTAGTGTGGGTAAGCAAGCCTGGACTGTGTCTCTTCTCCTTCCCTCCCTTTCTTTTCTTCTACCACATCCCTCTTCCCAACTTTCTGATGATAGCAGTGTAGCCAGCTGGCCAGATGTGGCCAGATGGCCACCCTGGAGGCTCTCTACATTTCATGTCAAACCTATCTTATTAGGAGTTAACTCTATTAGGCACTATTGTAATGAATATCAGCCACACAAAATTGTCAGTTTGGTATCTTTGGTTCTTAAATTAATAGAACTCTGGCACATAAATTGAATTAAAGAATATTACTTTAAGGGCAGCCCAGGTGGCTCAGCGGTTTAGCGCTGGGTGTGATCCTGGAGGCCCGGGATCGAGTCCCACGTCAGGCTCCCTGCATGGAGCCTGCTTCTCCCTCTGCCTGTGTCTCTGCCTCTCTCTCTCTCTCTCTCTCTCTCTCTGTCTCAGGAATAAATAAATAAAATCTTAAAAAAAAAAAAAGAATATTACTTTAAGGCCTAGTTTTTCACCTTTTATCTTCCTTCTCCACTTGCTATGGAACCCACAAAATGAAATTACTTTTATTTTTTTAAAGATTTTATTTATTCATGAGAGACACAGTAGAGAGAGAGGCAGAGACATAGGCAGAGGGAGAAGCAGGCTCCATGCAGGGAGCCTGATGTGGGACTTCATCCTAGATCTCCAGGATCACACCCTGGGCCGAAGGCGGTGCTAAACCACGGAGCCACCCGGACTACCCAAATTACTTTTATTTTTATTTGCTTAATGCCTCATAGTATTTTGGGAGACATGATGGTTTGTTTTAGGATAAGAATATTATAACAAGGGGCACCTAGGTGGCTCAGTCAGTTAAACATCTGCCTTTAGCTCAGGTCATGATCCTGGAGTCCCATGATAGAGCCCCATGTCAGGCTCTCTGCTCAGTGGGCAATCTGCTTCTCCCTCTCCCTCTGCCCCCTCCCCCTTATGTTCTCTCTCTCTCTTCTCGTGCAAACATTGAGTTACTTAGTGAATGACAACTGAATGGCAACAGATGACAGATGGACTGTGTGCTTACTCTCTCTCTGAAATAAATAAAATCTTAAAAAAAAAAAAGAATATTGTAACTAACGTTTATTAAGGCTCTCCATGTACCAGTAGCAGTTCTGAGTATTTTGCATGTATTAATTCATTTAATCCTTACAGCAGCACAATTGTAATAGAAAGGTGTTGTAATTTGCCCAAGGTCACTTAGCTGAAATGGGATTTTCAAGGCAGTCTGACTTCAGAGCTTGTACTCTTAATAACTAAGCCATTCTGCCTCACACAGCAGTAAGATTTTGGAATTAACACTGGGGTGGATCCTAAACCCCAGGAGTCACTTATTTAATGTTTGACTATTGATTGGTTCTTGCATTGGCATGTCAACAGTGAGTAGAAGAGGGAAAATGAAAGCAACATATACTCACTGTGCTGGGCACTGTATACCTTCTCTTTTGATCTTTGACAACCCTGGGAAGAGATATGTGAGGTTATACAGCTAGTAAATTGGAGCCAGGGTTCTAATCCAGGGCTTTCTAATTCTAAGTCCAGTCATTCTGTTAGCCCTAGCTATCTCTTTAGGATAGCCATGTTTTGGGTGTCTTTGGCCCTTTATAAAGTGGTGTGTCTGTGCTTAGGCTGGGAAGGAGAATTTGGGGCAGTTGCAACCCGATGGCCTGCTGATTTGTTTCCTTCTCCTCCCCCAGGTATTGGTGTCCCCATTATGCTGGCTTATGTGTATGGGGTTGTGCCCATTTCTCTCTGTCGTGGAGGTGGCTGTGGAGTTAGCACGGCCAACGGAAAGGGGGTGAAAATTGAATTTGATGAAGATGATGGTCCAATCACAGGTAAAGAGAGGATTTTCATTTCCCTTAAATTTATGGGACAGAAGATAAAAATCAGTAGAATTCAGCACATTTTACAGAGAGATTGTCATTGGATTACTTTGGATAATGAGCTTTGTAGGGGGTAAAGTATTTTTAGCTTTTCATTTCTTTGTTCCAGAGTTATTAGGTTAATTCCTCTGGTACTTGGCTCTGTGTGGCAGGTACAAACTTGTAGGATTCCAAGTAACTCCAAGTATGCTGGTAATAGTAGTGATTATAATAAAGTCTTATATCTACATAGTACTTTATAATTTTCAGAGGACTTCACACAGTTATTATCTCACCTGGTTTTTACAACAGCTTTCTGAATAGGAAGGGCAGGGGCTATTATTATCCCTGTTTAATGGGAACTTCTTTAAACTTTTGTCTCAACATCTGTTAAATGGGTTTAAGAGCTTCTGCAGAGCTGGGACTAGAGCAAGTCTTCTAGCTTCTTTTTTTCCCCCCACCTTCTACTTTGATGTTTTCACTTTACCATATTAAAGTGAAAACTAAGCTAGGGCACAGAGAGTCTCACAAGTTTTTGAAGCTTTCTACCAGAATCAACACCTAACATGACCTAAATATATTTTTGAAGTCTTCATGTTTGATTAGATGACATCTATGGTAAAATGGGCAGCATAGTGGACTTGGAGTTGGAAGTATAGTTTCGTGTGACCAGCCATGACTTGAACATGTCATTTAGTTCTAAGCTTTTGCTTTCTCTTCTAAAATTGGGACTGTTATTGCCTAGTTACTGGGAAAATTAAATATTAACAATATGTTAGAACACCTAATGTGTGGTGGCTACATATAGTAGTTATTAAGTGAGTAAATGAGTATTTTCATGAATATTCTCCACTCTGAAGAGTCATTACAGGAAAATAACAGACTCTATTATTGATGCTATATTATTTTGAATTGAAATGTTTGGTTCCATCCCCAGTGGCCGATGCCTGGCGAGCCCTCAAGAATCCCAGCATTGGGGAAAGCAGCATTGAAGGTCTGACTAGTGTATTGAGCACAAGTGGAAGCCCTACAGATGGACTCAGTGTTATGCAGGGTCCATACAGCGAAACAGCCAGCTTTGCAGCCCTCTCAGGGGGCACTCTGAGTGGTGGCATTCTTTCCAGTGGCAAGGGAAAATATAGCAGGTAAGCAATAGATAATTTCTGATAGAACCAGTTAGAATGGTAAGAAGTAACATACCTGTATCGAGCCATTTCTCTGTGCTAGGCACATCTCATATATCATCTGATTTTGGTGTAATCATCGTGGTTTGGGTCTTTTGTTATTGTTGTTTTTAATTTTACAATGAGAAAACAAGTTTCTAAAACGCTAAATGACTTAACAAAGTTCAGTGTTCTTTCTACTGCACCATAGTGGCTTCATATAAAGAATAATCCTGAGTTCAGATATCCCCTCTACTACATTAGGCTGCCTGCTTCTGGAAGGGAATGCATACATTTTTGTAGAGTTCCCAAGGCTGTGCTCCCCATGAGGCTTTTCACTGACCTTCAATTGAATAGCATCTATACTGTATCTTATTGGCTTTTGATGCTACGATCCTTATTACCTTCTTATTCCCATTTGATAGATAAGGAAGATCAATTCTACGAATTTGTGTAGAGAAGCTATAAAGCGGGATCCCTGGGTGGCGCAGCGATTTGGCCCCTGCCTTTGGCCCAGGGCATGATCCTGGAGACCTGGGATCGAATCCCACATCGGGCTCCCGGTGCATGGAGCCTGCTTCTCCCTCTGCCTATGTCTCTGCCCCTCTCTCTCTCTCTGTGACTATCATAAATAAATAAAAAAATTAAAAAAAAAGAGAAGCTATAAAGCTTTATGACTAAAAATGTTTGACTTGCTCATTTTACCAGTTAGGTAAAGCAGAACATATTCGGAGGAGCATAACAGGTGTTAATATGAGAAGCAGTTAATTGAATGCACTTGAGAAGAGAGGCCTGCAGATGGGGCAAAACAGGATAGGGAGGTAAGAGAAATGGTTGCCTTCAGATATCTGAAGGGCCTTAAATAGGAAGAAAGGATTCTGACTCATGCCAAGAAGTAGATTGAGACAATTTGGCAGAAGCTAGAGGGAAACCTAATTTTGTTTCATTATAGAGAATATAGGGAAAATCTATATAAAAGTCCAAGGAAGAACTGAATTACTTCAGAAGATACTGAGCTGCTTATCCCCGAAGTGTTTAAAGTAAGACCAGATGGCCATTTGGCTATTAGAAGGAGTCAAGCAACAGATGACAGATGGACTGGATCCCACACCTGAGTGCCTGTCAGTCACCTGGGAGCCTCTTAAAAATAGATTTCAGGGCCCTATCCCAAAATTAATAAATTGAATCTCCTGGAGTAGGACCTAAGGAATCTGTGTTTTGAAAAGGCTCCCCAGGTGATTCTAGCATAGTCATTGTACAAGCTAGCATCTGAGAAGCACCTAAACAATGGCGTTTGTGAACATCCTCTTCCAATTCTGAGATTCTATGAAAGATCTGAACCTAGAACCCAGGTCTCTGATTCAGTGCACTTTCCATTACACTGCCTCATCTTCCTGGAGCATGGCATATTCTTAAAGGGTATCTAAGCCTGGAGCTGCAGAGTAAAGGCATAGGCTGTACAATGGGGGTTGCTCGAATGTGCAGCTAGAGGCTGCTGCTGACCAATCTGTGTCTCATGACTCTGGTCATCCCTTGTTAGGGGATCCCCCCCACACACATGCCAGAGAACTCACTGCTGGGCTTTCTTAAAACTATCACTGTTGTAAATAAGCAGACAGACATAATTGGAGACTGACTTGCTGAAACTGCAGCTTAGCCAGTCCAGCTGTTCCAGTTCTGTGAAAGCCTTTTATAGGAAGTAGGTGAGTCAGATGGGTTTGTCTGTGAAACCTATTAAGAGGAAATACTTAGGTGTGTAGCAAACTGGTGTTAGAGCCAAGGAAGGAAATAGTTCTTAGGTTCTCAACTTTGAGACACCATCGGGAAATTTTGCTACTCTTGTGGGAGGTTGGATCCTCTATGTCCTTCAGTCTCGTAGCCTGGGGGTAATTTGATTGCTAAGTGTTTGAGTTCCTATTGCAAGACACAGAGGGTAAAGTGTAAATGAGATGTAGTCTCTCCTTTTTTTTTTTGGAGTTCACAGATGAGTGGGAGAGAGATGCATAAATTGATTAGGTAGATGCTATGGGAGCATTTAACAGGAAATGACTGGTTTGCTGGGAGAGTGAGGGGAGGTACTTCTTTTGTTGTTAAGGACTGAATACGAGTTTGTCACATAAAGAAAGGAAACTTCCAGAGAGAGGACATAGTATGTGCAAAGTTATGGAGGTATACAATGTATATGTGTGTATAAGGAAAGAAAGAATTCAGAGTGATTATGATTTATGATCTCATCCCTACGGTGAGAGATGGAACTGGAGAGAGAGCTTGAAGGCAGATCATGAAGACCTTAAATGCCTGTTGGTAGTAGAGAGCCAAGAGAGGACTGTTAGAGTGATCGGGTCTTGGTCCACATTGGCACTGATCTGTAAGGTGTTGGACTTGGACTTAGGGCTGCTGGAGAGAGAACCTAATTGCAATTTTCCAGGCAGGAGCTGTTGAGCACCTAAAGTTACGTAGTATCAATGGGGAGAGAAAGGAGGGGACGATTTCAGTAGATATTCAAGAGAGAGAAATGTGTGGGCATCTATTTGAGCTATTTGACAATTGGAGAAGATCAGATCAACTCAATTTGCAAGATAACAATAGATGTGTTCCAGGAAGCAGACTGTCTCGGAATACCCAGGTCTTGTATTAACTTGAACGTCCCCTCTTTACACAGGTTAGAAGTCCAAGCCGATGTCCAAAAGGAAATTTTCCCCAAAGACACAGCCAGTCTTGGTGCAATTAGTGACAACGCAAGTACTCGTGCTATGGCCGGTTCCATAATCAGTTCCTACAACCCACAGGACAGGTATGTGAACAGTCAGAGATGCCCAGGAGAGGTTAACAGTTTGTGGTTGGGTCCTAGGCCTTCAGATTTTCAATGCCTCATGTCAGGGCTGTGTGTACCATCAGATAGGGTATATAGTGTGTGCCCTGTGAGCTCACTGGGCAGGTTCTTGGTATAGGAGTATTTAGGATCTTTTGATTGATTCTTCTTGTTAGCCCTTGATTTTTAGGGGTTTCTTTCTTCCTTTTCTTCCCTCTCCCCACTTTTTCAGGTCTTTTTTGGCTATTGTATAATTATTCACGGAACTTAAGGAGCTAGATTGCTGTTCACTGATTCAGTCTGTGGGTCTGTGGCTTTTGCTCTTAGGTCGCCCTTTGCTTGATGTGTCTCCTGTCACCTAGTTCTCTTAATTTTTGAGAAGCTAGTGTAACTGATAATGGTGTGATTACAGCATTCCCTACAGGAGAGGTTCTGGTTTCTTCTAATTGTGACATAGTAGTAAGACACTACGAATCTTCTTTCATTTTTGTATTTTGAGTAAGATAGTGTGAGGGTCTGACCCTTAGTTGAATTTTGAAAGCTCTTTTTTAGTTGTGTAAAGAAATTGGCGAGGTATGTGTGTTCTTAATCATCAAAGGCGTTCTAGTTCTTCTCTTATTTGAGAAGTAAGTTAAATTTTTATTTTTGCTAAAAGTGAGTTTCAGTCTACAGTTTACCTATGTTTTGAACTTTCTAATCCTGATCCCACAAACTGCTTGTACCAACAGGTATAGCATGACCCATTCATGATTCAGCAAAGTGGATTTTGTCTCCACAGAGAATGCAACAATATGGAAATCCAAGTGGACATTGAAGCCAAACCGAGCCACTATCAGCTGGTGAGTGGAAGCAGCACGGAGGACTCGCTCCATGTTCATGCTCAGATGGCAGAGAATGAAGAAGAAGGTAGTGGTCGTGGTGGCAGTGGCAGCAATGAAGAGGGTCCTTCCTGCAAACACCAAAGCTGTGAACAGAAAGACTGCCTGGCCAGCAAAGTTTGGGATATCAGCCTGGCCCAGCCTGAGAGTATCCGTAGTGACCTGGAGAGCTCTGATACACAGTCAGACGATGTGCCAGACATCACCTCAGATGAGTGTGGCTCCCCTCGCTCCCATACGGCAGCCTGCCCCTCGACTCCCAGAGCCCCAGGTGCACCGAGCCCAAGTGCCCATATGAACCTCTCTGCCCCAGCTGAGGGGAAGACTGTCTTGAAGCCAGAAGGTGCAGAAGCCAGAGTATGAAGTGGAATGAATGCTGTTCTGAGAAGCACACTTGTTGTAACTGCATCTTTTGGAATCTTTTTTTGGGGAGGCAGGGACTTATGTATTTTATTTCAAAGATTCTCTGGTCACAGGTTTTCCCCAGGGAAATTCTGAGAAATTTGCAGTTTCTTACCAGATACAACATGGAGATTTTTGCCCTTAGTCCTACCCCCCAACCCCTCCCTCCTTTTTTTAGTTTTAATTTATTGGTTAAATTGATGGTGGCGATCCGTGAGATGTGTCAAAGAGTGTACAGATGTATGTGTGTATATTGTATGTATGCTAACATATTACTGAAGGACACATTTTAATAAAGATTTCTGTCGTAATTCAACTCAATCTCATTTTCCTTGGCTTGGGTAGTCCTACAGAGCCAAGTGTTTTGAGTAGACCACTTACATCTCTAACAGTCTCTAGATTGAAGTTTTCCCATTCCCAGGAATGAAGGATTGTATTCTAACTAGGACTGCAGTGGAGTCCTCTATAAACCGATGACTCCTAGCCTGACAGGAAGTAAAGGTAGGCTTGTTTTGGACTGTGTAGTCAGACTGAAGAATTAGCTGAGTTAGCCATATGGAGAAGCTGTGGATTAAAATGAACCTTGTTTGCCCTCTAGAGGCAGCTGTGCAGTTTTCCTGTTAAAGCTTTACTTCTCCGAGTTGTAGTCACTAGGAGAAATGTGATTCAGAAGAGGCGAGGGGTGGCTGTTCCCAGTGGCTCTTCAGAGAGATCCCAGTGAATGGTACAGGGTTACAAGTTGGGGACAGAGTATTCTTGCTGGAGAAGGAAAGGTACCAATTTTGCATAATCACCAAGCAATAGCCCAAGTGTTTGTTATATTCTCAGGTATGCATTCCCTGTTCCTAAAAGCTTTCTGTTTTGCCAATGTCATGTAAGTGAGAGTGGCTAAGGAATCTGACTAAAATTCATAATGAAAGGAGAGAGGAGACATGGCATCAAAATCTCAGCATTTAATTTTATCTGCTCTTATAAATTCATCCGAATTGAGCTAAGTTAGTACTACTTAGGATTTTGGCTCTGTCTAGAATAATGGCCTTAGAAATGAAAGTTCATACATAGTATAGCAGAAAAACTAAAAGATTCATGAAACCTGATGTAAGATTCTAAATCTGGCAGTAACTTTGTGACTGTGAGTCAGTTTCTGTCTCATGCCCCTAATTTCCCCAATTCTTAGACATTATTTAAGGAGCTTCCAGTGCCAAACTTCTCTAGCACCTTAGCCCTGGGCCCAGAGGAAGAGTTGTCATCCTTTCCCTGAGGACCAGATGGCTTTCTGTTTCCTTTCACAGATGCCTGCTCCTTGTCTTCCTGGCCTGTGCTTTACCACAATGAGGAGGAGGAGTCTGGACAACAACTTGGAAGATGATTCTCTCTTGGGCACTGCAGCTAGATTTAGCACATTTCCCCGTGCCTGGAACAGGAAATGCTCTTAGTGGACTTAAGGTCTCTGGAAGAAAGTGCCCTAGTGTCCTTGTGTGAAAAGGGGGACCTATTGGAAAAGGGGGCAGTCTGGAAATCTCTGAAATGCAAATAATCAACTCAAGATTGCAATTCTCTTGAAGCCTCACCAGATAGCAGTTAACTTGGATAAAATTGAAGAAGTCTTTGGAAGGGCAAGAGTTGGCAGCCAAACCTGTGTTGTTATCTGGGTTCCACTTCTTCCCACTGTGAGACTTGGGCAGTTGCCTCTGAGTCTGCTTTCACTTAGGCAACGTGGGGAAAACAATCCTTAACTGTGGTCGTAAAGATTGAGTGAGATGTTGTACTGAAATGCTTTTGGTAAAGACCCATGTTTTTTCCTCCTGCAGGAATGAGAAAAAGTAAGGGGAGATGATGGGTGTCATCTAAGGAAAAAAAAAAAAAACAGAACTCTACACCAGAGGCTATGAAAAACAGCTTACTCTAATCCTTTGTAACCCTCCTGTTGTAGTCCTGTTGTAGATCCTAGACATTAGCTGATGAAAAGGCCCTTCGGCGCCACCTGGACAAGAACATGAGTAATGCGTTGGAAAAGTTAGTTCTCCCTTTAAAATATGGTGAAAGTTTAACTTCCTCTTTGTACAGCATTCATTTTGAAATGCCTACCACATTTCAAGTATAGAATTCAGCAGTAAAGAAAACACAAAATTATTGTCCCTGTGAAACTTAGGCTTTAGGGGGAAAGACAATCAGATCTATAATCTGGATGAGGGTAAATACACTGAAGAAAACAAAGCAGGGAAGAGAGAATGGTAGATGATTCTACTTCAGATGGTGGTGTAGGCTTCTTTGATAAAGGTACATTTTATCAGAGTCCTAAGGGGAATGAGAAGGAACCAGTGGATATCTAGGGGAATAACATACCAGACAAAAGTCTCTTTGGTGGGACATCCTTAGTCTGATTAAAAAACACACACACACACACACACACACACACAGCTTACATGCCTATATGTCTTGACCTATGTGGACCAAGGAGGTTGGAGAGGTTGCTGGGGATGAGATTGTATAGATTTAGCAAAACCTCTCTGCAGACAAAGAAATTTTACGTTTCTCTCAGGCCAAGAAGAGGGGTAATCTTGAAATCCAGGGGGATGCTTGTAGTCAACTTTCAAAAAGGCTAAGATTGGGGGAGGATTTGTCTGTTCACCAGTCCTACTTGAAATGATGTAAAGAAACTCACAGATCTAGTAAATGGGTACTTACGTATTCCGACCCTTTTCAATATACTTTCTCGTACTCTAGAGGCTGGGAAGCTAAGAACTATGTGTCTTAAACTTTCTTAAACCAAGATTTTGAATATAATTTAAGTTTTGCTAATTAACTATGCAAGCAAGATGTGGAAGGAGGGAGTGATTGAGGGGTCATCTTCAGCAACTTTGGCTGGTTGCTACTGCAAGGATATAGAGACCTTGGATTTCTCTTCAACAGTATTCCAATATCTATCCGTAGTTTTGTGAGTGTTGAAGGGCTTCCTGATCCATAAATAACAGTGATGTGTGTTCCTGTAGTCAACCTATGGTTGCCTCCTGATACCTTATCTCGATAGTCGCAGAGGTAACAGCTACCAGTGTAGAACCAATCTGAGTTTTCTTGGAGATCCAGCCTAGAGCCCATTAGCTCAGGCTTTCCAATTCTTGTAAGCACCTAATTTACTTGTATTGAATCCTTATCTACTTATAAAATAGATAGAAGGGTTTTGTTTCCTACAACTACTAAATGCTGATAATGGTATTTGGTTCCAAAAGTGGTTATAGGCAATAGGCCCTCAAAGATGGGACTCTTAGATTAGTTATGACTATGCTGGATTTGAAGGAAATGAGGATAAAATTGCCATTGGAAGGAAATAGATGAAGATTATTTACGTTTGTGGTCATTTGAAATGTCTTTTGGAGGACTTTGGCAGACCAAATGGCTGCCATTACAGGCCATTATATAAGAAACGAGGGCCTAGATGGTGGTGGCTCTGCTAAGGAAGTAAAGAAATGAGGGGATGCCTGGATGGCTCAGTTGCTTAAGTGTCTATCTGACTCTTGGTTTTGGCTGGGGTCATGATCTCAGTATCTTAGGATCAAGCCCCGCATTGGGCTCCATGTTAAGCTGTGGAGTTGGTTTGGGATTCCCTCTCCCTCTCCCTCTCCTGCCACCCCTCCTTCACACACATACACGGGTGCACTTGCATATGCATGCACTCTCATAAATAAATAAATAAAATAAATAAACAAACAAACAAATAAATAAATAAATACATTTTAGAAAGGAAAGAAAATCAAAGGCTCAAGAGCTTTAAGTTTTCAGCTCAAGGCACGTATAGGAGAGCCCCAGAAGAATTTCATCTCTTGCGACTACAAGGCTGATGTACATGAAAATCAAAAGGAGATTCTGGGTTATAGAATTACAACATAAGTTAAATTCATAGTCTTACCATGTCTCATGTGAAAATTACAGCATTGTTTGAGAGAGAGTGGGACCGTAAAATGAGAAATGGGGACATTTGAGTGGATTTGGACAAATTCCAGTGTTCTGAATCCAGATTCCCCTTAGTCTTCCCTACCAACAGAAATAGCCTTTCTTCCCCTAACTGATACGGATGGTCCTGTCTTACTCAGAGATCTTTGGGTACCTGCTTTGAAAGGGAATGCCAGTACTTATGTCCCACTCACTACCTCGTATTGCCACCAGATCTGTAACTAGGGTCAGATCCCAGTATGCTTTTGGAAGCAAACACAAAGTATCTGAGAGAAGGCGTATAGGAGAATTGTAAGATTTTGTTAATTTGAATCAGCAGAAGCCTGGATTTTAAACCAGAAAGAAAACATTATTTTCATTGGGTTTAATTTATTAACAAATTCTAGAGATATTAGATAATATATTGGCTTTAGCAGCTAAGAGTGCCTCTTAGCTGATTGGTTAGATGAAGCCTGGACTGAATAGTGGTCTCTACTCAGACTGAAATGCATTAGTATATAGCATTAGAAGATGAATCCAGAAACATGAAGATAGAAATGTTGATGCAGATTTATCATATGTGTGACTTACATGTGAATTGCTCAGAGGATATTCCTTTCACTAAGGATTTGGAAAGTACACAGATAAGAGAAACACCTTATCTGGGAAAATGTTGTAGTTTATATCCTTAATAGGCTAGGATTGAGGCTAAGAGATGCTGTCTTCGAAATGGAATCCCTGACAGTGGGTATGATGGGAGCCTGAAGTGGCAGGGCCCAAGGGTCAGTACCAAGGCAACAGAGCTGAGGTGATGGTTCTATTTGGTTTGTATAACCCAAAGTAAGATGCCAGATCTAGCAAAGAAAGGCCTGTTTTGAGTCACCAAATGGAAAGTTATGAACTCTCATTAAATTCTCAGAACCGAGGCCCTGGAATAAAAGGGTGCTTAGTACCCTGGAGGAAGCACCAAACAATATCACCATAACTGTATTCATAAATCTTTTAGTGTTCCCCCAAGGAACCTTAAGCCATTTATCTATGTTCCTGTGCTTGGGAAATGGAAATACCTGAGGCTTCAGGGAATACTTAGAAACTAGCCCTATGCTGGCAGTAATCTCAGCTGACCTAAAACATCTTTGTAGCCCACTAGTTAGAATAGAGGTTTATGGGGTGTTACAGGTTGAATTGTGTCCTTCAAATTGTATGTGTTGGAGTCCTAACCTATAATGCCTCAGAATGTGACCTTATTTGGAAATAGGGCTGTTACAGAGGTAGTTGCATTAAAATGAGGTCATACTCGAGTAGGGTAAGGCCCCTAATCCAATATGACTGGAGTCATCTATAAAGGGAAAATTTGGACCAGAGGCACAAAAACAGTGTCATGTG